GGGGGGGGGGGGGGGGAACAGCTTTGGGCGGTCGACTTCAATTTTGGGGGGTTTTCCACGTTTTTGGCCCGGGCATTTAAAGGTTGTGGGAAAACAGAACTTCACCGGAGTTTAAAGTACGTGCCCTGTTCACGCGCGCGAGAGACGTGCAGACAGGGTCGTGCCATCTCTCTTTTTTTCTCTCTCCCCCCCCCCCCCTCTCTCTCTCTCTCTCTCTCTCTCTCTCTCTCTCTCTCTCTCTCTCTCTGACTCTCTCTCCCTCCCCCCCCCCTCTCTCTCTCTCTCCCTCCCTCTCTCTCTCTCTCTCTCTCTCTCTCTCTCTCTCTCTCTCTCTCTCTCTCTCTCTCTCTCTCTCTCTCTCTCTCTCGTACGATCCGTGTTAGTTAGTGCCAATACAAAGTCTCCTTGGAGTGAGGTGATCAACCTCACCGAGTGAATTCTTGTCCTTTTGCAGACGGCGTTTGCCGCCGACTCACCATGGAGTCTCTGCCTGGCGCACGCACAGACGACGACGACGCCCCACCCACGGACTGGCTTGCCGAGCTGCCGCCGGAGCTGCACCTCCGCATCCTCGAGGGCGTCGACGACTTCTCCGACTGCGCCGCCTTCAGCCTCGCGTCGCCGCGCCTCGGCCTCCTCGCCCTGCGCAGCGGCCTGGCGCGCTTCAAGGACCCTCTCTTCGCCGTGGCGATGCGGCTGCTGCTCATCGAGCGCTTGATTGCCGGGTCGTTCGTCGGGTCGTCCATCATACGGCCGACGCTTTGCGAGGCCACCCTTCGCGCCTACGCCGCCGACCGCCGCGCCACCGCCGACCACTTCCCGTGGCTTGCGAGGGTGAGCCCGGCGCTCTGCCTCTCGGCAACGGTAGAAGGCGCTGGCGAGCAACGCGCCGAGACGTGGGCGCTGCGACGCGGCAACGAGCGGGGCGCTGATCTGCGGTTGCGTTTCTTGAGGAGCGGCCTGGTGCGGCACTTCGAGGGCGGGCGAGGTGCGGAGCGGCTGGTGCGCTTGGAGTTTGCCGACGGCGTGGTGCATCACTACGAGGGTGAGCGAGGCGCGGAGCGGCTGGTGCGGAAGGAGTCGCCCGACGGCACTGTGCAGGGGCAGTGCTACTACGAGGGCGAGCGAGGTGCGGTGCGGCTGGTGCGCGTGGTGCTTGCCGAAGGCAGCATGCAGTACTACGAGGGAGAGCGAGGAGCGGAGCGGCTGGTGCGTGCGGACTTGGCCGACGGCAAGGTGCAGCACTTCGAGGGCGAGCGAGGTGCGGAGCGGACGGTGCGCGGTGTGCGTGCCGATGGCGCCGTGCTGTACTTCGAGGGCGAGCAAGGCGCAGAGCGGGTGGTACGCGAGGAGTATGCCAGCGCGGAGATTGCCAACGGCGAGGTTCACTTCTACGAGGGCGAGCGAGGCGCGGAGCGGCTGGTGCGCGTGGAGTTTGCCAGCGGCGAGGTGCAGTACTACGAGGGCGAGCGAGATGGGGAGCGGGTCGTGCGCGCGGAGTTTCCCGACGGCATCGTGCAGTACTACGAGGGCGAGCAAGGTGCGGAGCGGCTGGTACGCGAGGAGTATGCCGACGGCACTGCGTACTACGAGGGCGAGAATGGTGCGGAGCGGAGGGTGCGCCTGGAGTTCGCCGACGGCCAGGTGAAGCACTTCGAGGGCGAGCGCGGTGCGGAGCGGGTGGTGCGCGGGGAGTTTGCCGACGGCGAGGTGCAGCACTACGAGGGCGAGCGAGATGGGGAGCGGGTCGTGCGCGCGGAGTTTCCCGACGGCATCGTGCAGTACTACGAGGGCGAGCAAGGTGCGGAGCGGCTGGTGCGCGCGGAGTTTCCCGACGGCTCCGTGCAGCACTTCGAGGGCGAGCGAGGTGCGGAGCGGCTGGTGCGCGCGGAGTTTCCCGACGGCGCCGTGCAGCACACGAGGGAGAGCGAGATGGGGAGCGGATGGTGCGCGTCGACGCCGCCTCGGGTCTAAAGAAAGAGACAGGCAAATAGAGACGAGAAAAAATCAGTAATCACTCCACAAAGCAGGGTGGAGGGATGGCCGATGTGTGGTTTCTTTTTGACTGGTGTACCACATGATCCATGTTAGTGCCAGTGCCGCAGTGGGTGGCGCGCGCGCCGCCAGTAAACAGAAATGAGAAAACCCGAACAAGGGATGGGACTTGGGAGAGGAGGACAGGCGTCCCCCACCTGCACGAGCAGGATTTTGGAAGGACGATCAGGGGCACAGGGGGTTCTCCTGCTCTCCTGACAAGGGACACGACAGGCTCGCAGCGCGGTGCTCGATGGACTCCCAAAAAAAAGAAAGAAAGAAAACAGACAGCCCAAGGGAGGGATGGGAGGACGGCACGCCGCCACCACACATGGACTCACATGGACTCCCAACTCCGCTTTGGGGCTCGCTTTTTGTTTCTTTTCTTTGCCTGTGTGTGTGCCAGTCCGCGCCAGTCTGCGCCCTTGTCGTGCCAGTGTGCTGTGAGAGAGGCTTGGCTCTTGTGAATTCTTTTCTTTTACTGACGATTCACGATGGAGCCGCCCAACCTGGTTGGGCCGCAGCAATCAGAGGTGGAGGCGTCGCCGCTGGTAGCGCCGCCACCACCGCCGGAGTCACCGCCAGTCTACGTGAGCGTCCGTCCCCCGAGGCGCTCGCCGTGGCTGGAGGAGCCGCTCTCCAAAAGCGAGCTGTCCGTCGGAGATGTGCTGTACTACCACGGCGATAGTTTTGGCAGCGGCGATGGAAATATGCATTTGCACGGCATGCGCGGCGTGGTGCAGGAGGGGACTGATTGGGAACACACGAGGAGCGAGTATGTCAGCGTCCTTTTTGACGGGAATGAGAGCGGCATCACAATCAGTGTCGAGGTGCTCGGCCGAGCGCCGCCACTGTCGACCGAGGACGCGCAGCTGCGCTGGCTCGCCACCTCGGAGGAGGACGCAGACGCGCAGTACCACCTGGGCAACCTTCTCGCCTGGGGCGTGCCGCGGGACCTTGCGGAGGCGCGGAGGTGGTATGGCGCAGCTGCGGCGCAGGGGCACGCCGAGTCACAGCACGCCCTTGGTTGCCTCCACACGGCGGGCTTCGGCGGGCCGCAGGACTACGCAGAGGCGCGGCGACTGATGGAGCTGGCTGCGGCACGGGGACACACAAGTGCGATGTCGGCTCTGCGATTCGCTCTCAACGCAGAGCCGCACTTCCGGACCAGAGTCGCGCTCATAGCGACTATCCCTTGCGGCGGGCGCGTCGTATTCTTCGACGCGATCGATCCTGCCCACAACTTTGACTCGCACCTTTTTGAGGCGTTCTGCGAAGCGGAGGGCATCCCGGAGCGCTCGATGGCGCGTTTCTTTTACCGAGGCGTCGAGATAAGAGAAATCGGCCTCCACGACCTTCCGCCGATCCCAGACCAGGCCGTCATCCACGTCACGCTTCAGTACCTGCCGTTGCTCTACGCCGCCACACGAGGCGATGTGGCCACTCTGCAGTCCCTCTGCGACGCCGGCGGCGACGTGAACCAGTGCGTGGACGGATGCACGCCGCTGGCAGAGGCGGCCAGACGCGGCCACATAGCGTGCATCGAGGTGCTGCTCAAGAACGGAGCGGACCCTACGTTGTCAGCCAGTTGGCACAGAGTTCCCCACTCGCTGCCGCCCCTCATCGGTGGCGTCGTTACGCTGCAGTTGAATGTCGTCAAGCTCCTCTCGGAGTTCGGAGCCACCAGAACCAACCGCGGTGAGAACGCCGTGGAGGTGCTCGAGAAAGAGTTGCGCGGAGACGGGTACGAGCGGATCTTGCACTTGTTGCCCAACTTCGTCAGCACGTTCAGCAAGCTGCACGACTGGCTGACGCGATCGCAGCACTGGGCGGAGAGGCTCGGACCCCTCGAGCACGCCGCAGCTTATGGCCGAGTCGCCTCTCTGCGCATCCTTACTGCTGCGAATTTGGAGGCTTGCCGCGAGCACGCGAGCTTGCGGCCGGCCGTTGCATGGGAGCACGCGAGCGCCTTGCGGCTGGCATCGGAGGAAGGGCATGCGGCTTGTGTCCGAGTGCTCCTCGACGCGGGAGCCGACTGCAACCGCTTCCGCCCGCTCGCGGCAGCGGCGCGACACGGTCACGACCGCTGCGTCGAGGCGCTGTGTGCGGTCGGTGCTGCAGTTGATCTGGCCGATGAGTCAGGCTCGACGCCTCTGGTGCTTGCTGCGCGTCACGGCCACTCGGGCTGTATTCGAGTGCTCTGCGTGGAGGGCGCGGCTGCGTCATATGGCAGGTCGCTGTTGGTGCTTGCGACTAGGCACGGCCACGCCGACTCCATCCGTGCGCTTCGAGCGTCGGGTGCCGACGATGGCTTTAGTGGAGCAACGCTGCTCTTTCCGGCGATCGCATACGGCTACGACGATTGCGTGCGCGCGCTTCTCAGCACCAACGCTTCCCCCGATTTCTCGCTCATCGGGGTGCAGGCGCTGGTTGAGGAGGTGCGGCAGGCGCTGACGCAGGGCGATCGAATCGAGATGCTCTTCCTTACCGCCGGTTTCCAGAGGCAGCGTGCCGAGCGCAGTACGCTCGCTGCAGCCGACGGGTTCACGCCGCTCTATTTCGCCGCTCTGACGGGCCAGACTGAGTGCTTTCGAGCTCTCATGGAGGCCGGCGCCGCTTGCCGCAGCTGCCCGCCAAGCGCTGTTGACGACGCTGACGGCCCCGATTGCCATCACCACCACCACTGCCACCACGTTTGCGGCGCCACCTTCACGTTCACGACCACCACAACTTATACGACCCTCGAGTCTTACTCGTACTCGGACGAGGACGAGCCGCCGTCGAAGCGCATGGCGGTCTCCGACGCCACCACGCTCGCGCCCGCGCTCCCCGCGCCCCCCGAGCCGCACTCGCTTAGCGCGATCCCCAACGACCTTCTGCACCGCATTGTCACGAGCCTCGACGACCCCCTCGCTCCAGACCCAAGCGGGCCAGCCGCTGCAACGGCCCTCGCCTCCACATGCCGCGGCATCCGCGCTGCCATTCCCGCGGCAGCACAAGCGCTGCGCCGGTACACGGAAGCGGGGGATCTTGGTCAGCAGATGCACGTGGCTCCTCCAGGCGAGACAGAAAAGCGGAGCCTTTCGCGGGCAGAGTTGGCGCAGATCCACGAGCTCGACTTGCGCTTCTGCTTGCGCTACGTCAACTTCGATGTGAGGATCGCGAGTGTGCTGACTCACCTCGTCTCCTCCGGCTGCTTCAGTCGGCTGCAGAAAATGTCCGGGTACATCCATCCTTTGGGATGGAATGAACCACAGATTGCGAGGGGTGCGATCGCATACGACGGGTGTTGTCGCGGGAAGACATGCAACTTGCCGCAGACGGTTGTTGATCGTAGGGGGGAGGAGGAGAGAAGGCACCGGAAAGAGGCAGACGCTGCCAGCGAGCGCCTCCTTGCCGCTCTGGCAAGGTCTGCGCTGCCCCAGCTGCGAGAGCTTCGGTCGGAGCTCAACCGCCAGGAGGCAGTGTACTTCATGGGGGCTCTTCAGCAGAATCTTGCCGCCCTGCCCGCACTCGAGGTCCTCGACCTATCCGGCGGCTTCATCGACGACGAGGGCATGATCGCGCTGGTTGACGCTCTGGCTGCAGGCGCCTTGCCGCAACTCAAGGACCTGATACTCAACTACTGCAACGTCGGCGACGCGGGTATCGCCGCTTTGGCTCGCAGCGGCATGGACGGCACATTGAGCACGCTCGAGAATTTGTCCCTGCCACAGGACGATTGCCAAAGCATCACGTCTGCCGGCTGGGCCACGCTTGCGGCGGCTCTGAATGCAGGAGCGCTGCCGGCAATCAAGGTGTTGTATCCGGGCGACTGCAATCTAGAGGCGCCTCCCTTTCGAGAACAGATACATGCGGGCCTGCGATCCGCCATGATTGCGCGAGGTATCCGAGCCTATGCGAGCGAGGAGCTTGCGGCGGTGTGAAAGATTGCGCGCCGAGTCAGGGAGTTGTTGCGGTGCTCTCCTGCACCGATCTCCCGTGGTCGCAGATCTCTAGAAAGCAAGACGAGGGGGGTGTACAGTACGGCTCCTTAGCGCCTAAAACGGAGCGAGAGGGGTGTAGCTTTTCAGTGCACAAAGCGGCAAACGCTACGCAACACACATCGCGACTCCTAGGTGAGGGATGGGGCTTGGGGGTGGCCGCCCGCGCACCCCGGCGTACGGCTTTATGCACACGCACGCAGCCGATATATAGGTATTAGGTATACGACTTCCGTCACGCCGTGTGAAACTGTGAAAGCCGCGACACCCCTCGCCCCGTCGCCCGCGAGGCAACGAGCTCCCCACACTCCGCCCGCCTGCTGTCTCCAATCTCAAAGTCGTCACCAACGTGATCACAGTAGGTGGTACGCGTGCTCGCCGCGGCTTCCACACTCACGTTGAAATCCTGGCGGTAGTATGGTGAGAGCACTCGGCAGCGCGGGCCGCCGCCGGCGTCCGTCGCAGGGCACGCGTCATCTAGGGTCTGCCACAGGTGCCTCGAGTTTAAGCCCAGGGGAAGTCGAGACGCCCGCTCGATCAGATTGAGAAGCACGTCCAGCATGACGTTCCACACACGGTCACGGAAGTGAACCTTGTCGAAAGGACGCGGAGTACGGGCGTTGCCGTTGGTGGACGCGTCAGTGAAGGCGAACGCGTCTACGCAGAAGAGGCGCGGCCGCGTGGCCTGCATGTTTCGGCAGGCAGGCGGCGTGCGTGACTCGCCGCGTGACGTTCGTCATCAGCCGCCGCTCCTCGACCAAGTCGGGTGAAGCGGTGTCGTGTTCAGAGCCTTTCCTTTTTTGGGCCCTATTCAACTATCGTACGATTCCAAGACTTTGACACCTGTCCGAACGCAACCACGAGCAGCATTCCATTCGGGTACCAACCATTCGTGGTTGCGCCCCCTCCAAGCCCGCCACCGCCCTCGCCGCCACCCTCGCCGCCACCCGCCTCGCCGCCGCCACCCTCATCGCCGCCGCCCAGCCCGCCTTCGCCGAGCCCGCCACCGCCCTCGCCTCCACAGCCACCCAGCCCGCCATACGTCGTTCCAGACAGGGAATCTCTCCAGGCCGCGGTCGACCTGTGGTGCAGCGACGAGGCGGCGGCGCTGGTCACATACGGCCCGATCTCGAGCTGGAACGTGCGGGCCATCAATGACATGTCGAAGCTGTTCGCCTACAACGAACGTGATGAGGCAACGTGCAACCCTGACATCGGCGCCTGGGACATGAGCAGCGTCACGGACACCAGCGGTGCGCCCTCGGCCTCTGAAGCTCTCTCGGCAAACCCCATCTCACCGTGCTTCCGCCTCGTGTGTGCGTGTGCAGGGATGTTTACCTACGCGACCTCCTTCAACCAGGACATCAACAGCTGGGACATGAGCAGCGTGACGAGAACCGACAGTGCGTCCGTCCCCGCGCCTCTGCAGCCCTCTTCGCACCCTCCCCCGGCCTCCGCTCACCGTGCTTCCGCCTCGTGTGTGCGTGTGCAGCGATGTTTGCCGGTGCGACCTCCTTCAACCAGGACATCAACAGCTGGGACATGAGCAGCGTGACGAGAACCGACAGTGCGTCCGTCCCCGCGCCTCTGCAGCCCTCTTCGCACCCTCCCCCGGCCTCCGCTCACCGCGCTTCCGCCTCGTGTGTGCGTGTGCAGCGATGTTTGCCGGTGCGAGAGCCTTCAACCAGCCGCTCAACAGCTGGAACATGAGCAGCGTGACGAGAACTGACAGTGCGTCCATCCCCGCGCCTTGCAATCGTGTTTGACTCCCCTCGTCCCAGCTCGTCTCGCCCCGCCGCGTTTGCGTGTGCAGGCATGTTCCTTGACGCGGCCTCCTTCGACCAGCCGATCGACAGCTGGGACATGAGCAGCGTGACGAGAACCAAAGGTGCGTTCCTCCCCGCGCCTCTGCAATCGTGTTTGACTCCCCTCGTCCCAGCTCATCTCGCCCCGCCGCGTTTGCGTGTGCAGACATGTTCAATCTCGCGGCCTCCTTCGACCAAGACATCAGCGACTGGGACCTCACGTCCAATACTCGATGCGCTGACATGTTTGCGTACGCGGCATCGAACAGCTGCACGATCTCGTCCTCCTGCAAAGCCATCTCGTGCACACTTTCGCCGCCACCCGCCTCGCCGCCGCCGAAGCCGCCGCCACCAACGTAGGGTGACTCGTTCGTAAGTCATCGTCTAAGTGTATTGATCTGGTACGGTACAATGTGAGAGACTATACGGCTGGCGAGCTGAGTCGTAGAGCCGTGTAGCTCGTACGGTGTATGTGTTTTGAGAGCTCCATATCTCGCGGTGACGTGTTGCGCACTCGACAGTCGAGCCCAGGTTCGCCTCTCTCCCGGCGCGCTGGCCTGCGTTAGTATTGCCGGTGCCCCGCCGGTGCGCCAGAAAGGAAGGCTACTGCTCGCGCGCGCCGCGTCGTGTGTAGAGAGAGCCGCCGTACAGCGTACACATGCGGGGGGGTGAAAGAGCTCAGACCTCAGTCGCTCCCATATGCGGTCACTTTGATAAAAAGAACTCCCGGACTGAGATACACCTACATCCCCTACGTCCTAGCTACACGTATGATCTGGTGCTTGAGAGAGAGAGAACACCCCCCTCTCCCTTTTCATTAAGCTAAAAGTACGTATACCTATCTAGATACCCGAGAGAGATAGAGACCGAAGCCCGAAGGTACCCCCTGTATCGGGGTTATGCGTTATGGGGGGTTTACGAGGTGTGAACGTGAACAGAGTAGCCAGATCGCTGTCGATCGTTACGGCACGCATGGGGGGCCTCCCGGACGTATGATCCTAGCCCAATAAGCTCCACGGAGCAGATTTGGATTTTTGACAGAATTAAATGCACTGCCCCCGCTCGGTACTAATAGTCGTAGTTTTGGGGGCGGCGCCCCTCACGGCACCACACTGACGCCGGACAGCCCGAGATTAGCCTAGCAGTGAGTGGGAATCGCCTGCCGGTCGGCTTGGCACGAGCCAAGCACTTGGGTGGCCGTCAACCGAGTCCGAGCGGTGCCTGAGGTGGGTGCCACGGCGTCCGCACGAAGGCGTGGCGGGGTGAGGAGCCAGGGGTGGTGAACACCTCCCTGACGGGCGCGCGGCGCGCCGGATGGTCCGCCGAGGCCGCCGCCGCCCCGGCGGCGGCGATGGGGGCGGCGGGGCCGACCCGGCCGGCGTTTGTCGGCTCCACCTACAGAAGAGCAGTCTCTGTGGGTCGACGATACTAACTCGGTAGTAACGCTGAGCGGTGCTGTGCGACGCCGCGTCGTGCGCGAGGCGACCTCCTGGGGCTACCTGGGCTGGCAATGGATGCCACCAGGACGCACGGCTAGCAGGAGCCAGTCGGGCATGCCCTGCTGTGGAGCAGAGCCTGCTGGCGCACCGGCGATACTAACTCAGCGCGCCGCGAGAGGCAAATCTGGGCGACTTTGGAGGCGCAGTTCTCGAGCTTGCCGTCGACGATTGATGTCGGGTAAATTGTCACTGCCGTCCGGGAAGGTCTTCTCTCAGCAGGCCGAGCGCCGTGGCATCGCGCTGCTCGCAGCGCTGTTGCGGCGCCGAAACCCCCAAAACTCGCGAGACCTCGATACTAACAAAGACTAGGATATTGGGGCTAGGGTGAACTCCTGACGGGGTTTGGGATGTTTCTACCTGTAAATTCTACCTGTAGTTGGTATACAAAAGAGTTTTAACCGGTCTGTGCCAGGAGAGGGCGCCGGCGCACCCAAGCTGTTGAGCATGTCCCACACCCAGTTGATGAGGAACATGGCGGCCGCAGCAGAGCCTGTGGCGCGGGGCAGCACGACGCGCTGAGCCTCTCTTGCTCTTGCTTGGGTGGCTGCGTGCAGGATGCGATCCGCCGCAGACGGCTCTTCCCCCTCGACCCGCGGCCGCGGAGGCCGAGCAGGCGCCGACCGGGCCATCTCGGGGTGACTGTGCGCAGCTTCTGCCGATGGGTGCGCGGCCTCGCGGATCTACGGTGCGGCGCGAGCCTTGCGATGCTGCGCGCCGAACAAACGTGAACTCTGTGGGCCTTGGCAAGAAAAGAATTTTTCGGCTCACGCCAACGTCCCCACCCCACCCCGCACGCAGCAGACAGACACACTAACTTAACTGGTTGGAACATACATGCCCAAACAAAAAGCGGGCAGATGCAATCTGTGAGGCAGTGTGGATTACGCAAAATTTTATACACACGCGCCGTCGAGCAGCCGCGCGAAACCCAGCCCATGTGCCATGACAGCCTGGGGGTACAGGGATCGGACCCACGTAAAAGGGTGCCGTACGGCCGTCCACCGCGCGTCCGCCGCTGATGTGCAACGTCCAACGATGGGCCTGCCTCGTCGCTGGCCCGCCTTTCGCTGGCTCTCGCCGCCACCGAGCCCCGAGCCTCCTGCGTGCGACTGCGGCGCCACCGTGCTGCCACCAACCCTCTCCGGCTCCGGACAGACCGCCGTCATCATCGTGCTCCTCCTCCCAGTGTGGCTCGGCGTCATTGTCTGGTGAGCAAAAGCCTCTCTCCGCAAGCTCTCGCCGCCTCACGGGCTTACCGAGCAGCCGCCGCATGCGATGGATGACTCGCCCCTCCCCGTGTGCGATGCAGGATGCTCATCGCGCGGCAGTCGCCGCCGCCCGCGAGGCTCTCGAGGAGGTGTGCCGACTCGCCGTCCGCCGCGAGGCAGGCCCGTCGTTGGACGTTGCACATCAGCGGCGGACGCGCGGTGGACGGCCGTACGGCACCCTTTTATTCCGATCCCTTAAAAGGCTGTCATGGCACATGGGCTGGCTTTCGCGCGGCTGCTCGACGGCGCGTGTGTATAAAATTTTGCGTAATCCACACTGCCTCACAGATTGCATCTGCCCGCTTTTTGTTTGGGCATGTTCCAACCAGTTAGTGTGTCTGTCTGCTGCGTGCGGGGTGGGGTAAAGAAAGAAAGAAAACAGACACGCCAAACGAGGGATGGGACGAGGACAGGGTCCCCACCTGCACGAGCAGGATTTTGGAAGAACGATCAGGGGGACAGGTGGGGCTCTCCTGCTCCTGACAAGGGACACGTGCGGGGTGGGGTGGGGACGTTGGCGTGCGCCGAAAAATTCTTTTCTTGCTAAGGCGCACAGAGTTCACGTTTGTTCGGCGCGCAGCATCGCAAGGCTCGCGCCGCACCGTAGATCCGCGAGGCCGCGCACCCATCGGCAGAAGCTGCGCACAGCCACCCCGAGATGGCCCGGTCGGCGCCTGCTCGGCCTCCGCGGCCGCGGGTCGAGGGGGAAGAGCCGTCTGCGGCGGATCGCATCCTGCACGCAGCCACCCAAGCAAGAGCAAGAGAGGCTCAGCGCGTCGTGCTGCCCCGCGCCACAGGCTCTGCTGCGGCCGCCATGTTCCTCATCAACTGGGTGTGGGACATGCTCAACAGCTTGGGTGCGCCGGCGCCCTCTCCTGGCACAGACCGGGCGCGCACAGACCCGACAGCGCGCTGCTGAGTGTAGGCCTCGCGCACAAGAACGCAAAGATCCTCTTCCTCGGGTTGGACAATGCTGGGAAGACGACGCTGCTGCACATGCTCAAGGACGAGCGCCTCTCGCAGCACAACCCCACCCAGCACCCGAGTGCGCACTGCCGCGGCGCCGTCACGCGCTCCCCCGGCCGCCCCTTACTGAGCCAGCCTCCGCACGCGCCGCAGCATCGGAGGAGCTCTCGATCGCCAAGATCAAGTTCCGGACCTTTGACTTGGGAGGCCACGAGATCGCTCGGTGCGCCGCGCCGCGCCGCCTGCGCCCGCCCGCCTGCACCCACTCGCGCTCCTTGATCCACCGCGCCCGCGGCTGGCAGGCGCGTGTGGAAGGATTACTTTCCGCAAGTGGATGCGATTGTCTTCCTCGTGGACGCACACGACCGCGGTGCGGCGCGCGCCCGTGGCTCCGCCTCCCCTCGCCTCCCGCTCACAGTCGCGCCGCCCGTGGCCCGTGCAATCACGCAGAGCGCTTTTGCGAGTCGAAGAAGGAGCTCGACCAGCTGCTGAGCTGCGAGGAGCTCCACGACGTGCCATTCCTCATCCTCGGGAACAAGATTGACCTCGGCCGCGCGGCGTCCGAGGCGCGCCTCACCGACACGCGCGCCTCAGCGACACACCCGCGACCCTCGCTCCGTGCGCGCGGCCGCGCCGCACCCTGGCACGCGCCGCCGCCGGCGCGGAAGTATGGCGGCGGAGGCGGCTTCATGTCACAATTAGGACGAGCTGCGGGTGGAGCTCGGCCTGCACCACCTGACGACCGGCAAGGGCAAGGCGCGCTGCATCCAGCTCGCGCGCCGTATCGCCGATCGTCGGGACTCAGCCCCTCTGCCCGCCCTCGCGCCAGGTTGCGCTGAACGGGATTCGGCCGATGGAGCTCTTCATGTGCAGTGTGGTGAAGCGCGCGGGCTACGGCGATGGCTTCAAATGGCTGAGCAACTACATCAACTGAGGGAGGGAACGAAACTAGTTGGGCAGGCTCCGACCCACAGCAGGGTGCCGAGAGGGCCCACCCGCGTCGCTTTGTGCCAATGAGCGCGCTCCCCCTCTTGGTTCAGCGGTGCGGCGGGGGAGGGTGCGCCCGCCGCTCAAAACCGTGCGCTGCGGCGGGGGGCGGCTTGGATGCTCGCGTTTCTTAGTAGACGAAAGGCGATGTATTGACTGTGTTTCCGGCTCATCCTCCAACCTCCTTCTGACGTTTCGAGGCGCAGGGGGAGGCCGCAGCGTCCAGCGTACAGCCTGCAGCGCGAGAGCGCACCGCAGCTCTGCGGAGCTGAACCTCGCTGTCGCTCATAAACTCAGTCCTCGTCTGAATGAAGCGTGAAGCCGCCGCGTAAGGGCGGAAATTTTGCTGTCAACCATCATCGAACATCACACATCGCAGACAGAAGAACGAGTACGACGTAGCAAGTACTGCAGACACAAGACGAAAGGTCTTGGGTGCTGCAACTTGGGACGCCACTATATCACAGTTCACAGCACCTCTATCCGGTCCAGCTGGAGGCAAGCCGCCTCGACACTGAGCGCTGCCACGAGCTCGTCCGTGCCATTCCTCCCGACCTGCGCAAACGCCCACGCGGTGGAAGCCAACTCCTGCGGCTTGTACTCTCCCGCGGCGAGCCGCGGGCCCGCAGCGGCCGCGATG